AGGAAGACGACAACAGATGATGATAAAAAAATGAGAGCTTTGAAGAAAACCTCTAGAATAGGGTTTCAGACAATCTCCAGAGTGCAGGGGTTAAAGACTCTCAATTCACTGTGCAGATGGGTACACGGTAAGATGCAAACCTCTCATCAACACTAAAAAGAGAAAGGCCAGATCAGACTATGTGAAGATGTACAAAGATGAGTCAGAACTGTTCTGCAACAAAGCTCTACCTTTATCAAAATGATGGAAAGATAAAAGAGTGGAGAAAGAGAAGAACTGCAAATGATCTTAAACACAGCACCTCATCTGTGAAACACAGTGGAGGCAGTGTTACGGCTTGGACATGCATGGCTGCTTCTGCAACTGGCTCACTGGTCTTTATTGATGATGTAAATGATGATGGCAGCAGCAGAATGAATTCTGAAGTGCACAGAAACATATTGTCTGCCCGTATCCAAAAGAATGCCTCAAAACTCACTTGACAGCAATTTATCCTGCAGCAAGACAATGACCCCAAAACATACTTAACCAAGGAGTTCAGTTTGAAGAAGAAGTGGAATTTTTTTACCTGGCCAAGTAAATCTCCTATTCTGAATCCTACTGAGTATGCACTTTCCTTGTTGAAGAGGAAACTAAAGTCAGATAACTCCCCAAACAAGCAATAACTGAAAGTGGCTACAGTTAAAATCAAGATTTAATGTTGACAGGTTGCAAACAGCATAAAGGGCCTTGCAACCAAATACTAACTTTACACTAGTTTACTTTACTTTAAGTTAATTTGTCCTAGCTGACATGAAATGGAGGATTAAACACAACAAATTACATTGTTTTAATCACACAGTATACCAACAGAAATATACAGAGATAAAAGTTGGCATTATGTATTGTTGCATCACATTTATCTTATGATCTGGAAAACAAATTTCAATACTACACAGCAAAGATGTAGTTTTATGCTGCTTTATATTGCTCATTTTGTTTGGCTGACGTACTGTATAGTATAAATTTTCCTTCATTTAAGCACAGAAAAATGAGCATTGGGTAAATGAATGACGTAAAACATTCATACCATTATTTATCAGAAAGAAATATATACATCATCATACACGTAACTACAACACTAACGATATCATGTGTTTTTACCTTAATTGACAATGTTAGTGTAAGTTAACATTTATCTTAATTTAGCTATCAAAATAATATCTTTGAAACATCAATTTTAGAAACACACACGCAGAGTTTTGGATTGTTAGGCCCTTTCTCCAATCCTGCACATTCCAGGGTTGCTAACCCTGAAATCACCCATTTTGTTTTTATTGACTTACATTAAACCACCAATTTATGGGAACAAATTATTTTTTATGGACACTATTCCTATTGTAAAAGCATGTGATGGGGGTGCCCACTCACTGTGCATTTCAATGCATTTTGGTGCATGTTGGCTATTCATTTTCCTATTTTCCTATATGCAACAAAAACAAAGTCTTCAATGGCTTTTAAAAAACAGCACCATCCTTTTTCATAAAAAGAAGACATTTTTGTGTTTAATAGATTTCAGGAGAGTTAAAATAGGGAAGTATTAAAATTTTACAGACCATCTATAATTGTATGGATGGTTGGTAACCCTGTCATATTTTCAGCATAAATGCTCATGTAAATGCAGTTTCTGCCTATTAACAGGAACAAATGTCACACATTATTGACTTGGAGCACTTGCATATCTCACTTCTTGAATTTTTATTTATGTACCAATCTACATTTTAAGGGGATGTTTTTAAAGCAATATAAAATTTAATTCCTAACACAATCCACGGTTGGAGTTGCAAAAGCAGCTTGACTTTTATTTAATTTTGCAGGACTACATTTCAAGTGTTTTCTTATATAAATATCATGTTTAAAAGCTGTAGGCATCTTTTTGTATACAGTACAATTACATTTTATTATGAATTGTTTGTTTTAATTGATTATTAATACAATTCCTATAGCATTACTTATCCCAAAACATGCCAAAGTTCTTTATATACTGTATAGGAAAGGACCAACTTCATCCAACACTGAAGTGCAGCACCCAACTATATGCAAATCAAGTACAGCGTAACAAAAAGCTTCTGTACAACTTTTGAATTTTAGGAGAAAACTGGGTATACCATATTGTTCGAGTGTGGGGTTGCTCAGAACATTGGGGTTAACACCTTAATGGAGTTACTTTTTGGTTCATAACAATTCAACAAAACAAGAGCTTGGCTGAATCTCTCATCGACAGCACAACACCTGCTAAAGCACATTATCCCCTATACAGATTCATTGTTTTTTTAAGAGGCCTATTGATTTAAACTTATTGATTTTCCAGAACTACATAATGTAGCAATCTGGTTTTCCTTCGAGTTTTCCCATCCCAGTGACAGACATGGCCATAGTTTCTAAACTCCCATAGCAGAAGAACAACAGAAACTAAACTCATCCTGAAACTTGGTTCACACCACCCCCCTTCTCTCAATGACCGTCTTGTTTTCGCGTAGTCTTTTCTATTCTCATGCAGGTTTTGACTTCACACCTTTCTTCACCTTTCTGCATTTTGCATTTCCTGAGTTGCCTCTCTGCCCCTCCTGTTTCCTCCCCTCTCCCAGCTTTTGTTTTTCTGTGCTCTTTAATCTGTGCCCTCTGCCCTGTCTTTCTCACACCTGAAGAAGGCTTCACAGCTGAAACATTGTTTTTTATCTCTTCTCTTTTCAGCATGGAATAAACCTATTACTTGTTCCTTTGCAAACTACGCATGCTGATGCAGCTACCCTCCTGAACTACTTTATGCTTCCCTACACATACTGTATACAGAAGATATAAATTATGTGTCAACATAAACACAAGTCTTTTCAGAAGCAGCCTCTTCAAGCTGTTACCCATTTTACAATTATAGTTTATAGCTTTGCTGCCTCCATGTAACACTTTGCTGTTGTCTACATTACATACCATGTAATCTACAGCATCTACAGTGTTTGCTAATCCTCCTATTTTATCATATACATGTATACAGTATGTATGTATGTCATCGGCAAACTTAACCAGCTGCTAACTATACCAGAATCAAAGTAATCAATATACAGCACATTAAGAAGAACAGTGGTCTTAATACAGATCTCTGTGGTACTAGACTGATTACATCACCTCAATCTGAGTAAACACCACTTACCTGTACTCTGTTTTATATATTTCAATGAGTTTTGAATCTAAATTCAAGCATTCCCTTAAGTTAATACCATCTGCAAATCCCTCCGTAAATATACATGCAGTATACTGTACATGTTCTGGTTGTATCCATTACTGCTATCATTTGTTCAAAGTACTCTAACACATTAGTTAAGTAACTGTGATATCATGGGTTATTAGAATCCGAAACATAACAGAAGTTTTGAAAAAAGTGAGAACACAAACTACTGTACATGCAGGAGTGTGTCAAACCAAAGAATAACTTTTCCATGTCATCCACCTGCAATACATCAGATGACAAGTTCACCGTGGAACTTGGGAATGAGATGAATATGTATGTACCGTACGTGCCTCCATTATACAGCATTCACAGTAATATACACCTTTTCCAAATCCATCAATTTTATCAAAATAAATTTCACCCATGCCCAACAACAGGATTTGAACCAAGAGCCCTGAGTCTACCATGTCTGAAAACGTAAGAATGTAAGAAATGTTTCAACCAAGAGGAAGCCAACAGCCAATCATGGACATTTAGAAGCTCAATTCATTTATGCCAATGATGAAAAAGTTGAGAGAGAAGTCACATTGCCTTATCTAGCATTGTGTCATTATGACACAAATGAAGGCCAATTATGCTATTATCAATCGATAATATGAATCAAATTTGAAGCAGTATAAAATGTATTTTCCCTGCTTGTGTATGTAAGGCACATCTAACTTCTCTGCTGCACTGCAGAGTGATCTTGGGAATGAGCAGATGTGGATAATGCTTCATTTGCAAATGAAACTGCTAGATGGCTGTGTAGTGATGATTTTATTCTAAAGATAAAAAAATATGGCCTACGTTTGTAGAATGTATAGACGAATGTTCAGGTGAAAAGACAGCCCTTAGCTTCTGATATTCCATATGGCGTATTAGACCTTCTTTCCCAGCATTCCTTGCCTCTCATTCTCTGCCTCTGCAACAGGCCAGTGATTCAATTCACATAAGAGAACTGACTACTTTATTCTCTGACAATGCTCTTGTTCCTCAGCAAAGTGGGTTAAAGTAAAAAATATCCATAAACTACATGTCATTCAATAAAAATAAAGATGAATGAATTTGTGCAGTATTGTCTGTATCTACTGAGCTAATTGTTAATGACAACTTTAACAAACCAAATATTGCACAAGCACTTAATCCCGTTTGGAGGCTGAAGGCAAATGCTAATGTACAGAGGAATCCAAGATAGTGCAATACAATCATCTGAAACTCCCTGAATTTTAAAATCAGAAGACAACAAAAATGAAACAATACAACACATACTCAACAATGCGTTTATATTGCATGTGATACTTAATGTCAGTTTATAGATGGTCAATATTCAGCATTTGAGATAGCTATTACTTGAACAAAACACAAAGACATTTGTTTTGTTATGCCATACAACAGTCTACTGTCACCAAGGTTTTGAAGCAAGTTTGCCAACTTTATAGACTTCATTTTAGTCAACCAACTTAGCTAAACACGTGTTCTAGGTCTCATTTTGTAATTAGCAAACCCTGAACCTGTTGTCTGCGTAAAAAAACAATGTATTTTAACGTATTATGGAGCAGTATCTTCTACAGCTGTTATTGATAACAGCGGAATCTTAATAATATCAAGTACAATCCCGTTTCAATGGGTGGCTGTACCTGAAGGATCTGCACATGATATTACTCTATTAATTGCTTATACCTACTTAAGAAATATTGCATTTCTGTGAAATTAAAGATATTTAAGACATGATTAGGCAAGTGATAAAGTCGCTTACCTCCTGTTTCCGGATCATGGAAATTTGGATCAAGCCCTCTCTCCAAAAATTTTGAGACTTTTTCAATGTTCTTTTGCTGGACATGTTCCATAAACTTCTTCAGGTTAGCCTGATTAAAAAAGGAATGAAAACAGTGAACAGAAATTGATTAAGCAACAACGTACTATAAATGTTTGGAGCAATTCAGGAGGAAATCTATCTATAGGTTTATAAAATCTATTCATAAACTGCAAACATGATGCCCTTAATAGAAAGATTTCTGTCGCCATAATTAGACAAATTCAATAAACATATCTATTGTATCTATTGTACATCAAAGAAAAGGGTGGAGGGCTAATCCTGGCCAAGGGTATATTGCCCAAATGAGGAACTCCAGTCAAATTGCCAGTCAAAATTGGCTATTGACACAGCATAGTCTTAAAAAGGCAAAACACTATCGGCACCACAAATGCATGATTTATGTAGAAAATAAACAACATATCTAAAATGCAGCAATATTAATAAAAAATGTACAATTCTATTTCTTCATCAATATTCAGAGGAATCCATACACTACTGATGGAAAAAAGAAATGCAACATTTTCTGGAATGAGAAAACTATAGTTATAGCTTATGTACTTTCACAAAAGGTTGTCAATTTGTTTTAAGCCCTCTGACCAGCATTACAGCTTGTGCAGTGAGGCATTGCAACTTGTGAATCACACAAAAGCTCGTTAGGTGCACTTTTACCCAACGAGGTCCAGGTGGAACAATGTCTGATCAGATCACCTTTAAAAAGGCCTTAATTCAAAGCTTAGGTCACTGCAAGAAAAAGGCCACACTTCAGTTTTCTGTACATTCCATAATGCCTCAATTGTCACCAGAAGCAAGGGAGAGGCCATTGGGATACTGGAGGAAGGCATGTCATGTGCCAACGTTGCCAGACACTATGGAGTAAGCCATTCCACTGTGCCCCAGCTGCAGAGAAGGTTTCAGCAGACTGGCAGGACAGATGACCATTTAAGATCTGGTTGCCCTCGAGTGACCACACCAGAGCAGGATTGACACATCAGACTGGTCCATCTGAGAGATCATTTCAGTTCTGCCACCTGTACTGCTGCGGAAACTGCCAGTAGACACAATGCCCACATCAGTGACAGGACAGTGAGGCTCCATGCTGCTGGTCTAAGAGCAAGGTGACCTGTCAGAGGCCCTCTGCTCGCACCTCCTAGATGTCACACCCGACTGGCTTGGGCCAGACAGAAGCAGTGGCATCAGGTCCTCTTCATTGATGAGTCATTCTTCAGCCTTTTCCATGCAGACACGAGGGCCAGAGTATGGAGGAGGAGGTGTTGCGCTTCTTTTTTCCATCAGCATACTATCATTGGGTTTTGGAACTGACCAGAATGAATAACACATTCTAAGCTGAATAACATCGTTAGTATAATTGTGTTCACAATATCTGCTATTTGAACAAAGTATTACAGACAAAAAGAATAAAACTTAAAATCAAAAGGAAAAAAAGTATAAGATGATCTTATTTTAAAGTACTAAACTGTGCCTTAGTATACATTAAATTGTAGGGAATAATTTTCCTTTTTAAAATCTTTAATCTGTACTCTGCTGTTCATTTAATAGTGTTTTAATAAATATATAGTTTGCTGATGAGTCATTTAATCAATAACAGAAATGTAATCTGGTGTATCTGAACAATAAATACTGACCCAGTCGTGTTCTCAGTTTAAAATTGCTATGTTAAGATAAGGGCCCATCAGACTATGAACCATCATACTTTTCACTGTGTACTTAGAGTACATTTAAAGCAGCAGGGAGTTTTAAAATCAATGATTAATGAGAAAGAAAGAAAGGAAGAAGAATGCATTTCTAAATTAATTTAAAATGGAATTACTTGCACATGGGGCATAATCTTTTCTGTAGCACTGTAAACATTCTAACTCTGGTAAAATAGAAAAATTGATCTACTTTGATCTACTGCAGCTTTTAAGGAGAAAAGGGTGTTATATTCATATTAATTCTGATAATAATAATAGTAAAAAGTCAAAAGGGTAATTACTGTATATAAACGGGGTCATTGAAAGTAATACCTTTTTCAATTTATTTTCAGGCACTGCTATTAAGAAGGCAGAAGGAAGGGTCATTTACAGAACAAAAACAACTGAAGACTTTTAACAGTTAATCACTTTCTGTTGAGTTTATTCAAATTAAAAATTCACTTTAAACCAACATTTTAATTCAAAGTGGGTTACACTTTAATTACATAACTAGGTTCTGGCAGAGATATAATCTGCCAATTTGCCAATTTCTTTCAATTCAAAGCAAGCTGTTTTTTTGTTTTCAGTCAGGCAGCAGTAGTGAGGGCACTTTGTTTCATACTTGTTCAGTCTAAAATCTTTACACATACTAATTAACAAATAATATCAACCAGTCTGAGAATTTTAATTGATCAATTGATTGATATTGACAGATTGTTGTATGAAATGTCTGTGTAAAATAATGTTTAGCAGCCAATTACGTTTAAATTGTGGAAAGTGAAATAGGGAGAAATCCATCTATGCCAAGTTTTCCAGCAATTTACTGGTCTGATGGGCCATTAGTCTGACAAGGTCTGACTGATGTTCTGACAGCATTTCCAAATTGTTTTGAAAACCCATCACTCTGACAATTTCAGCCTATTGGTGCAACCCCAAACTCTAACTGATGGCTGATAGGGTAATGGAAAGACCTCAATAAATTGCATAGATCTTTATTGGGCCAGTTAAAAAATAATGTTACTGTCTCTAAAAAATAATTATAACTTTACTGTCTGAAAACAATTTGAAGACAAAAAGCTACACTGGAAATTATATACTGTAAAACTGTAAAATACTAATGAATATCAATTCTCCAACTTTTACATTGCTGAAATCACAACTGTCTAAATAAATTTCTAATATTCCTTTCCACATACTGTATAAAGTCAAAGTTGATTTTGACTTTTATTATTGGACAGCTCCATGTTACTGGAGTTAGTTTGCACAGCATATTTAACTTTCACCAGTGAAATTAAGGTATATATACATCTTACAAGGAAACTCCTTCAGCTTATTGTGTGTTGAAGAAGAAGCAGTCTCTACAAATTATGGGGACGTATCCTAATTAGTGCCGTATAGCACAGGTTTGCGATGTGGATAAAATTTGTGGTTGTAGGCTTTGACTTAATACAGTATATCCAAAATAGAATTAGAAGTCTGGATGGTACTACTGTACTTTCTTGCATTGTAAAATGCCCAAAGTTATTTTTTATGTTCAGAATTCATGCTTGATCTTAAGACCTCAGTCTTAATTATCAGTGAGATAATCAAATCTAGTAAATACATACTGTAATACATTCTGAACATCTGAATGTTTTATATCTATTAGACTATATAGAAATCATGACACCAGGGATCCACACTGTTAGAATATCTTATTGACAAGAGCACCTAGGAGACCAGTGTAGACACAAGGTCCTTGATTGAAAACTCATGCAACCCCTGTATGCTTAGACTGTGAATGAAAGTATCAAATGTTTCTACTGACCCTGCTTTTAAATTGTTTCTGGTCCTGTACTTGTGCAGGTGCTTGCAGAACAAACCACAGCTATGATTTTATTATAGATGCATAAATCTAAATGAATACTAACATAATAATGTCTACATAAAACATAAAACTTTGTAATGTAATCCCTAAAGACCTGTCTGTGTTTTATCTGTAGTTTTATTCAAAATAGCAATATGCAGTCAAAGAATTAAGAGAAAAATGAATCAATAATCGATTTTTTTCTTTTTCATTTTTCTTTCATGGTGCCTATGACTGAATTGATAAGTATGAATGCTTAGTGCCCCACAATATAGGGATATAGCAGTTAAAATATTATTTTTTGCAGAAAATTCAGCACATTGTCTATTGATGAATCAATTTTCATTTATAACACATAGAAATTATAGCACAAAGAAAAAAGCCATAACCTTGCCTACAGTGCAATCAAAATACTGTTCCATTTACTGTACATGTTGTATAACTGCAACACATCTCTATTTCTAATGTAGGCAGTTAAAATGACAAAATAATTCATTTACTAAATACACAAATCAATCATCATAAAATTAGTTTGTCAAATGTGCACTCCAAATATTTATATCCATATAAGAGAATGAAATAGAATCTGTTATAACAGAAATCCAACCGTACACAAGAGGCAATGAAATCCCCAAAACTATCAGTCACAATATTTATCCAAAAATGCAATAACAAGATAAATATTATTTCTAACAATACTTCGAAAAAAAAACTTGTATTCATGTTAATACAAATGCTTAATATTTTTATCAGCATTATTACAGAAAACATATTATTCAGGAAAATTACACTTTCCTTTTTTAAAAATACATCAAGATAAAGAAATGCTATCACTTCCATCCTCCCACCATTCCAGTTTTGTGCATTATAGTACAGCAGTTACATAACTCCCTGGTCTGAAAGAGTCTCTCAAATTTCTAGTAATCTATGTATCTCTGTTGATCAAAAGATATCTTACACTTACCATGTGCGGCTTTATTTCATCCTGAGTCTGGAAAACCACACCTCAGTCATCATATTATTCACTATTTTGCCAACAAAAAACCCTGATTTTCTCCCTCCATGAAGTATTATATCAGAAAGGCATACTGTACACAGGATTATTCTCTCAACAGCACTGAAATGAGTGATGGAAATTCACTTGAGATTTCAAAATCTATGAAGCTGTTGTTATGGTGATCAGATACAAAAGAAACTGGCTGCCGTATAAGCAGGGAGAGCATTGTCGAACACAACGTAATAAAGAGCTGGAAGGAATCAAGCAATTGCTGATTTTTTTTTTCTATGTGATCTTTTTTAACACTCCTGAAAAAGGGTAATCACTTTCTTGTTTAATCCGTTTCACTGGCCATTATGATAATCCTTTCTTAGCTGTTAGGAAACTCACTTTGCAATTCACATTTCAAAATCTGTCACTTAGTTGAACACATTATTGATCACTGCTGTTTGGGACATTAATGGTTACAGTTTGAGAGCAAAACTTTGCAATGTTTAGCAAAAGGTGCCTACAGT